TGATTTCAGTGCAATTATGGTGGCAAATATGGTTATTCCATCTGGAATTTTAAATCTGATATAATTTATCATGCCTCAAGCAAAAATAGATAATCAAGTGATTAGTTTCATAAATGAAATAAGGAAAAGATGGGAAGATAATATGTAGAAATTATACCATGATGATAAAATAATGAAAAAAATATGCTTTCCAGAACAATCAAAAATATACCAGTGGCTTGGGAGAAAAAAGAACAGAAAGGAAGAATAAAGTTCATTAATAAAAATCCAAATATCTGCTAATCCTCATGTTATAATAAAGCAAATAATTTAGTTTCATATTTAATAGCTGGTGTATATTAAAGTGCTCTCTGCCAACATATTTTAAAATGTGTGATGTTACTGGGTGTCATTTCACTACATGGTTTGCAAACTAATTTCTCATAATTTACACATTCTTACTTTTGCAAATCCAGATTAATAACCACCACCTTGGGTATGTGAAAACTAAACACAGGAAACACCTGCAGAGAAATATTAGTTTCTGTAGGGAAGTGAAACCATTTATCATAAATTTATTGGAAGGAACACAGAATGAGGTTGTATAGTTACTAAATCATAAAAGTTCTTACGCAAAGCTTTCATGCACCAGACTTTCTTATTCCAGAGGGCTGGCTGTGTTCTCACTCGCTTGTTATTTGATGTAAATTCAACCTCCACAGTATCACCAATGACTTCATCTCTCAAAATAATGAATATTTCACCGGGATTCTATAAGATGAAAACGTAACCCAGTTAAGCATTTCAAAAAGTTTACATTAACCAAAGAACTCAATACATTTATTAATGATCAAGGTCACGCACTATTATTGAATACCCCTTCTTATGGTGTTTGTAATTTCAACTATATTCAGAAATGAAATATGTAAATGTAATTCTCGCTACCTTTTAAATTTATCAATTTGGTGTTGATTGAATGCTCTTTTCCTCCTCATACCATGTTTTGCTCTGATAAAACAGTTAGGATATAGCTGCTCCCTTTTCCTCCTGTCTCTTCCTGAGTATGAATCACTATCCCAGGACATAAGCAACATTTCAGCAGGGGGTTAGAATTCAGGTGTTAACCAAATTCTTTTTCTAAATCCTTATTTTTCACCTTTCTTGAACTTGGTTTCTTTAGCTATAAATGAAGTTACAGATAGATTTAAGTTATCTTAAAATTTAACTTTTAGATCTCTTACAATTTTTTTAAGTCCCATAGTTTTACATTTTATATAATAGAAGGTCTCTGGTTAATCTTTATTTATGATGAGTGTCTGTGAAATTTTTTCCGTTGACCTAAGGTTATAAAACTAAAAGTTTTAAGATTTAATTAAGATGGAAAAGCTAAATCTATGCATTTAAGGTAAAAAGGGTTATTGAAGAACTCCTTTTGGAGAAAAATCCAGAAAACATACTTGAGGTGAGAAGGTTGGAATTAATTTGGAGAGAAGTAAGGAATAAACATTTAATGAGCATTTAAAAAGGTGCCTTGCGTTTTCATTTTGCACTGCAAATGAGGCAGCCAGTCCTGTTGGTACGCCATGTTGCGTGCTGTGCTGTTTAGTTCCTCATCTCCCTCTCTCTCCTGGTCCAGCTCGGGTTTCACCAGCTCCACGAAATCCTCCCTGCACCTTCAGCTCACGGGGAGTTTTAGAACTTTCAAAGGAACACTAGAGCATGTCACATCCACATCCCTCATTTGCCCCTTGCTGCATCATGCCCTCTACTCTTGCTTGGATATTCATGTCTGTGTCTTGGCTTTACAGCTAGATTTTAAACATCCTGATAGTGTTTTTATTTTCTTATTTTATTGTAGCACTCTGTAAGAGTTCCATATATATTTTTAAAATGAAGATGGAGTAATCTGTAAAAAATGGCATCTTTTAATTGAGCCTGCTCAGTTTCATTCCTCACCTCCCCCAGTACTCAAAGCTTCATCTGCTTCCTGCAGCAGCAGCTTGCTGCAGGTGGGAAGACCTGTGTAATTCCTCCTGCCTCCTCCTGAGTATGACTCACCATCCCAGGGCATGAGCATCATTTTAGCCGGGGACTAGAATTCAGGTGTTAACCAAATCCTTTTTCTAAATCCTTTTTGATATGGGTAAATTTAATTCAATGAAGAAAATATTAGGACATTCAAATGGTCATAAATTTTGTTTTCCCAGTAAGGAACCTGTTGTTTTGTTCTCAATTTTTCTGCCTTTTCTGTGTATCCCTTATTTGGATCTGAGCATTCAGGCAGAGAAAGGGTTATTGTAATTATCACTTTCAAACTCTAAGCTTTGCTGCATTGGTCACAAACCTTGAGACCTAAACAAAAGCGCTGAAATTTGGCCTACACTGCAACGTTTATATCTGAATCTCTGGGGTAGGACGCCAGCATTATCAGTTTTTTAATAATGGTCGCTAGTGTTCCCTGAATGCATCTCAGTTTAAGAACCACTTGGTTAAAGGAAAAAGACGTCTTTTGGTCACTGTAAAACCTCCCCTCCAAGAGAGTAACATTTCAAAACAGAGATATTTTAGGCATTAATGCACACAACCAGCTTTTGCCTTTTTTTACTGTATTTTTGAATTAAATCACAGGATCAGGCTTTAAGTTAAGGTGGCTTACCAAGAACTAGTTTGTGATTTGGTGTCAGAAGTAAGTGGGTAGTGCTGTTAGCTTTTGCATATTGTCTTAAATTATATTCAGGGTCAAGGAATTAGTTGGTAAGGAAGTCATCTCAGATTCTTCCGCCCCTGAGAGTCACATCATTTCATATCATGTCAGGGTGTCTCCGGGTCTGTGGATTACACAATTCCTGGTCTGTCCTATGGGTTTGGAGACACATACTACAGTTTCAGCCTCAGAGGTGTGTCAACGAACAGGTCAGATAAAACAAAGGCCTTTATTAGAGAACATATCATGTTCTAGGATTCAGATTTTTAAAAAATCAATGAAATTAATATATATCCAAATGCAGATAAAGCCACCTAAAAGGTCTTTTGCGGTTGCCCTATGACTTTAAGAATTAAATTTTATTATAAGGCTGTAGTAATCAAAACAGCTTGGTACTGGCACAAAAATAGAGCCATTGACCAGTGGAACAGAA